TAAAATGTTACCTTATGTATTTTTAAATTCATTGAAAATAAAAAAAATTGTTTTTGTTATTTAATAAATTATATACGGTGCGATTTTAGTAAAAGTAACAGTATAACTGTTAAAAGTAACAGTTATATTCAATTTTATATATTAATAATCGGGCATGATTCGAACCTGCGACCACCTGCTAGTTGTTGCTAGGCGCTTTCGCTCACTATATGCAGGAGCTCTACCTCTGGGATACCGGGGCATCGACTAATGCTTTCTCTTTTTCCTTTTTAGATCGTTTGACCCCCGCCTAAGCGTTTTAAATGCTGCTGGGTGAATCATCCTTAAAGTAATTCGGTTAGTCGTTATTCATGCCTGTCAGTCTTATTCTTGTGCTCCACTTATTCGGCATCAGCCATATTCTATTGTATTTAGGCTTGTGAGAGAGTCATATTCTGTAATTCCTCAGACAATTCGCAGTCAAGGACATAACACTTCGGTCGGTGGAAATTTTTCAATTTGACTTCTTTCTCAATCTGAGTTAAATTCAGATTTTAAAACTGTTTTCCAAATTACAGGATACAAGATGCTCTCAGCATTCCAGATTTTGACTCAAGATTTGCTAGAAATCAACCTCTACTTACAAATGTGTACTCCACGGTGATCTCTAATTTACACATTATTTTATTAATTTTTTAAAAATTTATAAAAATTATAGTAGAATGTTTGGTCTGGTCATTCCTCAATCTGGCCGTCCTTTCATTTTTTGGAAGCCAAAGCTTAACTTTGGCTAAAGACTTGATAACCTAGAATATCTCCGTTCGAAAATTTTTAAAAATATTTGTTACTTTTGTAGTTTTCCTTTAAACAAATCATTAAAGTATTTATGAACCATCTAGAATTGCAAATACTTTCAAAGAGGCGCATTGATTCTAGCATAATGTCCGAGTAGAATATGCATAAAAATGTATAAAAATTATTAGGCGAAAAAAAATTTTTTTTTAAATATTGAAAGAACCTTAAGCCAAAAAATATACTAATTAAACATTCATTAAGTTTGGGTTCAAACCTCGTACGCAGATAGTCCTCAAAACTACGAACCCAGCACACTCTCCAGTAAACCACACACCCATCGAAAAAATAGGTAGGAAAATCTCTTTTACCCGTCTCAATTTTCGCCCTTTTCTTCTCACGACTCCCATATTTTTGCTCATTTCTCTTTTTTCACCCATCATTAGGGGTGTATCTTTGGAACCGGTTCCGGAACCGGTTTTAAATCGGTTCCAGACCTTTGCCGGTTCCACGGTTCCAGTTCCGAAACTGGAACTGGAACCGAGTCGGTTCCGGAACTCGAACTGGAACTTTCCCATCACTGGTAAAGAAGTAGACTTTGCATAGAGTTGAAAATATTGTCCTTATTGCCTTATAAATACTACAAAAATATAAATTTGTTTATTTTTTTATTTCATATAAACATTAATAATTTAAGTAAATTACGGCTGAGTTGCGTCCAACTTAAATTTTTTGGAAGTCAAGCAACGCTTAGACTAATGTTGATTGATTACTACTTAACTGGTATCATTTTAATCAGGGTTGGGGGCCCGGTTCGTTTGAAAGATTGATTGGGCCTCGAATTTTGGCCCGAAAAAGACTCGACGGCCATGTACAAAAAAGCCAAACCGAATTTTAAACTCTTAGGCGGGGGTTGAACCATCTATAAGGCCAAAGCAAGCAACGCCAGTGTTTTCGAATGTTGAATCCTGCTTGTGACTAAATTTTTGTTTAAATTCTTACTATACAGGGTGCGGCAAAGTTTCCCGTACTTTTCTTAAGCATAAAATTTACTTAAAATATTTTCTTAAATTTTATAAAATCTATGAAAAGTGATCATGAAAATGTAAAGAAACAAAAAATTATAACAAATCTTCGAAATGTCTACCCTCCACCAAGATACACGCGTCCAAACGCTTACTGCTGTTGCTCACTATGGTCGCGCAATCAACCACAGTAATCGAGTCCCAGCTCAGACATTTTGGAAATATGTTATAATCTTTCATTTCCTTAGATATTAATAAACACTTTTTCATAAATTTTATAAAAGTTAAGAAAACATTTGAAATAAATTTTATGCTTAACAAAAGTACGGGAACTTTTGCCGCACCCTGTATGGTTAAATAGAGAACATCACTTAAGAACCTCCATCCTCACAAGTCCTAGTAGCTAACGATTAAAAATTGAATTTAAAGAATGAAATGGCTTCTAATGAAAATGAGGGCACTCTACCATCCTTAGTTGTTAAACGATAAAAAGGGGATAGAAGCGCATAAGTAGAGGTATATCTAGTAATCAGCGTGTCTTATAGAGAAGGCTTTAGTACGTGGGTGCAGGCTTTAAATTACATATGTTATATCATTTGAAAGAGCTAGTCGAGCTGAGTCGAATGCCACCAAAATTAGCTCTAGGAAAAATTTTTGAACCGAGATACAGGCGATTGAATATCGAAAAACCATAGGGGGGACCAAGCACTTTTTTGGGGTGAAAAATTCGAAAATGCAAATTATACCTCATTCGAAAGAGCTCGTCGAGCTGAGTTGAATGACACCAAAATCAACGAAATCCGACTTGATTGGACAAAGTTATGGTCTTTTATTTTAGCTCCTTACCTATGACATCTGAGGAGATTTTTGCTGCTACGGAGGCCCCAAATACGTCCAGAGCAAGGGAGATAGGAATAGGTTTATGTTACGAGCCCAGACCCAGCGCCCTTAGACTCCCCGCGAGGCGCGTGCCGCAAAACCCCGCGCGAAGCGCGGGGTTTTGCACAAGCGCCTCGCCGACGCTCCATAGGTTTAAGTTTTTTGTTTTTTGTGTTATACGGATACGGATAGCAAAATCCGTATCCATGAGCAGGTCTGGTTTTATCCATCCCATTTCCTGCATAGCTTAGATATTATGTAAATAGTTATAACTTCGTTCAGAATTGTAAAATCCGAGACGCCCTGGTATGTTTCGATGCGCCTTGAGGAGCTGAATCCAACAATATCTAGTCTTCACATACTCGACAGTTTTTAACGAAGTTATAGCCTCGACGGTAGGTTGGGGTGTACCCTTATTTTAATACTCATTCTCCTTTACCGATTAAGACTTGACTGAAAATGTTTAAAAAACTATTCCTAATTGGATTAGTTTTACTTCTATACACAAAACAACTTTTGTGTGATATTGAAAATGAAATTACTTCCAACATTGAAGAAGCCGATTTGAACATAACCCAACAAATCGATGAGCATTTAAACATGGCCAAAAAATGTGTTGATCGAGAGAAATGTATCATCAACTTTTTAAAAGAAATGACTCAATATGCTGAACTGGCCCGTTTTAAAGGAATTTTTGCTTTTTGCATTAAGTCTAAAAGAGATCGTGTAAATGAGGATCCAATTAGGGTATTTACTTTTAGTTATAATAACAATGTGTGGATTTTGTATATGATAATGTTGCACTTACACAGAACAGTGCCGAACAAGATTGGATACCGATGCCGGACAAGCTAGACCTCCTTGTTTCGAACAAAATAATTTTTGACACAAAATGAGGCCGGAATAAACGTTCCATTTATTCATATTGTAAGATATATTCGTTTTTAGTCCCTAATTCTATTCTTTAATTTCCCAATCAATTATTTCCAAACACATTATTCATTTTCCCATACACCACTTTACAACTAAATAGCCAATGTACACGCCCACTTACTTAATGCTATACCAACTAAGCTTTTCCGATCATTCAGAATAGTTTTTATGTTTACAGCGCTTTTTCCCTTTCCACCTATGTTGATTTCAAACTTAATTTATATATTTTATTCGTAAATAAATATTATGAATTGTGAAGTAGATTGTTGTGTATCTAAAGGGACGCTTTTAGGTAACAACAGTTATAATTTATTGGTAGCACCGGATGGTTCTGCGAATGCGGAACGTGATGACGATCCATCAAAAGGTAAGTTTTGAAACAACATGAGGTTGGAACCCCGCGGGGATGAACAACATGCTTTCGAGCATGAAAATCTTGAAAACCGGTTAAATAATTCATTATGAATTTTGCGCATTTATTAACGTCAGAAATTGACAGATTAAATTATCAGATTAAATATTATTCAGAGAAATTAAATTATTATTAGAGAGATTATTTTTAGTCGACAATTTTTTGAATAGATTTTATATGAATTATTGTTAAAGAAAATTAAGCGCATTATTATTGATATTATTCAGAGAAATTAAATATTATTCAGAGATTAAATTATTATTTGGAAATTAATTTTTTAAAGTCGACATATACACAATAAATAATTTAATTATAGGAGATCATCAACCCGTTGGCGATGAAATTAGGGTAGCTATATGTCAACTTGGCTATGAAGAACTATGGAAAATGAAGCAAGCTACAAGAATTAGGCCACAGATTAAGATATGTCACCAGGCGTCGACAAAACAACATTGGAGACAAGCTACAGATTTCACCCAGAACTAACAGAATGTATTCAAGCATGTGCGTATACAGCACATGATGAACGTCTAACAACAGGCAGAACTTTAGTTGAACTGGATCGATTAACAACTCAGAACCAAGCAAATTGCCACACAGAAACTTTCCGCTTATACCCATCCATCAGACTGATTTGTAGATTCAAGATCCAACATCATTCGCGGCAACCAAACCCTGAAATAATAAAACATCATCATTGGCAACGTGCGACCACGATTCACCGGTAGTATAAGAATAATTTGTTTTCTCGAAAGACAGGCAAATGAACTTGGAATGGCCGTGGCAAAATGGAATTGGAGGACGTGATCGTCAACACAGCCAATGCTTTTGATGCAAGCAACACCTCTCAACGATGGCATGTATGGAATAGTGGTGGTTAAAGACATCAAGATGTTGTGGACTGCTGGTGGGATTTGGAGATGTTTTTTTTGCAAAGTGCTCTCAACAAAACAACAGTCGTCACACCAGACTACATCGAAGCAATGGTGGACAACAACGCAGAATACAACAACAACATTTTGACAACAAAGAATGTAAGCGTCAATGCAGCGAACTTCTACGACGAATGGAAAGACGAAGACAACATGCAGCAACAACAACAATCAACGTCGCAATTTGCCAACCAATGGAGAACAACATCAAGACAACAACTAAATGGTGGACAGATCCAACTATGCCACAGATGCCGACAACCTGGACACATTATTAGCGACTGCCCAGACAACAACAACAAAGCATCAACCCCAAGACAACGCAACACGTGGACAAGAAGTGGAAGATGGAACTGAAGAATATGATGAAGAACAGCACTAGTGCCAACAATCCTGCAACAACTACAAAACCAAAATGGACCAACTGAAGTAAAATTTAATTGAATTTTTTAACATTGTTTGTAATGATTTTTTAATTGTTTCTAATTTTATTTATTCCATTAGTTCTGTAAATTTATTTTGTTACTATTCCATAATTTTAAGTTATGATTATCCACATTTAAAGTATTTTTATTGACCATTTCCATTTATTTATTTTTTGATAGCAATTACACTCCTTTATATTTCTCGCAGTTTTAATGCCCTAAGAGATATTTAACTCATAATTGACTCACGTTGATTTCAAAATGTTTGTTTCTCACTATACTACCTTTTTTTAAGTAATTAATGTTCATACAATAACATAATTTGACTTTAAAATATTTAGGCATTTTATTTACATAAGAACGTTCATTTAATGTATTATTTATTAATTGACATTTATTTCACACACACACAATTACTCTAATTGATTTTAATTGAAGCTTGTTTTAAGATTTTTTTCCCCAAATTAATTGTCTTAAATTTTAATATTTACATTCTCACAAATTATTCAAGATATACTTTTTTTAATTTAAACATTTTATATAACGTTTTTTAATATTTTGTTAACGATTTTGTTACATACATTTCCTTTACATTGACTTGATTTTTTTGATTCATTTATGAGTTGTACATTTTTTAACACAAAATTAATTTTCAAACAACTTCAAATTAATTATTTTTCCCAATTTATTCTGTTGTTTTTCCCAATTATTAGTTTCATCTCCTAATCAAAATATATATTATACCTCTCCCCGGGTAATACCTTCCACAGACCTTTCAAGCATGGCAGCACGTCATAAAGCCTCATCAAAAAGTTATCATCAATAAAGTAAACTTCAAAAAGTAATCATCAAAAAAAAGCAATCTTCATTAGGTCAACAAGAAAAACTTTAAATAGAGCCTGACAGTCGAAGACTGATCAGTTAGCTCACAAAAAGCAATGATCATAAAGTAACCATCAAAAGTAATCGTCATAAAGCAAACATCAGAAAAAGAAAGACAAACAACATTCACGTGCTTGAATCCAAAAATGGGGGACCATTTTCATGGGAAGGGGAGGTGTAAGATATATTCGTTTTTAGTCCCTAATTCTATTCTTTAATTTCCCAATCAATTATTTCCAAACACATTATTCATTTTCCCATACACCACTTTACAACTAAATAGCCAATGTACACGCCCACTTACTTAATGCTATACCAACTAAGCTTTTCCGATCATTCAGAATAGTTTTTATGTTTACAGCGCTTTTTCCCTTTCCACCTATGTTGATTTCAAACTTAATTTATATATTTTATTCGTAAATAAATATTATGAATTGTGAAGTAGATTGTTGTGTATCTAAGGGGACGCTTTTAGGTAACAACAGTTATAATTTATTATATCCTATCTCCAAACTATTCCCGTTTAATTTATAGTATATCCTCTTGTTATTAAATTTCTTTTAGAGGGGTATCTCTTATAGAGCGGTCTTCGGTTAAGTATTTTGGAGATTGAGATAATTCCTGGTTTTACTAGCTATTATACAGAATACAGATTGTAACTTGTACTAAATAGGGCTCATATCTTCTAAATATATTTCGATATACTATTATTCATAATCTAACTATATGTATTTCTGAGGGATATACCTACATTTAATTCTATGTCCATTCTGGGAGATATATTTATAAATTTTATTTTAATATTTTACAATTTTTTTTATTTTAGATGGTGCAACATAGCAAAACAGTAGAGGAAGCGACAAATTCCGCTCATGCTCCTTTAATAGTTTATATTAAATGTGTTGACGGATTTTTCATCCCCATGCAAAAAAATTCACAAAATAAGAATATTCAATTTAAAGGACTTTTCCAGATGGACTCAAGTTCAGAACCTTTGGCAATCTCTGAAAATTACAAAAATCTTCTTCATTCTTTAATGATTACAAAACCGTTGTATTTGGCAACTAAAGTGCGAGAAGCTTTATATGAAAAAGACGTGTATGCTCTATTAGAGATTATAACTACACAAAAATTAGAAGAATTGATTACAGCATTGAAGATAATGAATGTGATTGATCCTGAGTTTGATCAAGTTGAAATAGACTTTAAAAATAACAGAGTGGATTTTAACAGATTTTCAGAAAAGCAAGAAATTTTTGATAAAGGCAAACTTGAACAGTTTTTGAATTGGCGCTTTGATCAGAATTGCAGTGAAAAACCTAGCTTTAATGAGGTAAATTTAAAGTTGAGAGATATTTTGTTTATAAATTATGAAGGTTCTTACTTCTAAACATAATAAAGACAGCGAAGTTTCACCAAATCTAGCAAATAAAACAAAAATTTCAACGATCATTTGACGAATTGGATAGATGTCCTTCCTTTAAGAGCATTATTGTAACTCCAGAAAAGCAACAAATTCGGCATTATAACTATTAGTCAGATTTCGCGGACTTTGAGAATGTGCTCTACTGGCAGAGCTAACTAAAGGCGCTTTACCTTTTCTAATAGACCATAGACCACCGGCTAGTAAACGTTTCAAATGCTAACTAGATACTCCTTCCTAAATTAACTGTTATGTTCGAGAGTTGTCCGAGATTTGCCTAATTCGACGAGCACATGTGTAATGTTTATCCGAAGTAGAAGTGTGCCAATGTAGTTGAAGGGATTGAAGATGGATCAGCCGATATAGATCAGTGACTATCCGAGCTTGTATAATTCAAATAGACTGATGCTTATAGTGGATTTTATACTATAGTGACTTTATACATCACATTAACTGGAGCCTAACTAAGGCTACGACCGCTATATTTTAAAATAATCATTATAATAATTAAAATTATTTGTAATTATTTAGCCCAAGATTTTGGAGCGTATATACAACCCTATAAAGTCGTTATTCAATGGGCAGAATTAGGGTTGCGCCCCGAGCCTTCGGGGTTGAAAAAGTCGGGGGTCGGGGTTTTCGGGGTTGACAAAGTCGGGGTCGGGGTCGGGGTTGCTCAAATTGTTCGGGGTCGGGGTCGGGGCTGAAAATGATGTCGGGGTTCGGGGTCGGGGTCGGGGGTCGGGGTTGAAGTAAAAATTTACAAAATCCAGCATTTTTATCCAACATTACTGTTCAAAATCAACATTTTCATTAAAAAATGAGAATGTTGTGACTTATAGGGGTTTTTTTTGGCTGGACCGATTTGGTCAAATGAGGTGTCATTCGAAAGAGCTCGCCGAGCTGAGTCGATTGAGGGGCGAGTGGAGCCGATCCGACAATCAGGGACCGAGATACAGACCCCTGAAGTTTGAAAAAGAGAAGGGGGGAGTAAGCTCACTTTGGGGTGAAAAATTCGAAAATGCAAATAATAGCTCATTCGACCCCCCTTCTCTTTTTCAAACTTCAGGGGTCTGTATCTCGGTCCCTGATTGACTCAGCTCGGCGAGCTCTTTCGAATGACACCTCATTTGTCCAAATCGGTCCAGCCAAAAAAAACCCCCTATAAGTCACAATACCCAAAAATGAACTTAATCTTCATTATCTTCACTTTCTGTATCTATTTCCTTATTAGTTGAAGGCGCAAGAAGTACTTTATCCAAGTTATCCTTTATAATCCCGAAAATCCCCAAACCCACAAAATAACTCTTACTCCCCCTCTTATGTAAAGGGATTGTCCTAAAGCCTCTGTATCCATTCATTGAGTCTAGCGCCGCAGGCAAAAACTTTGAGAATTTTGGAAGGTCAAGAGCCAGATTTCTTCCATTTTCTGCGCCGCAGGCAAAAATTTTGAGAAATTTGGAAGGTCAAGAGCCAGATTTCTTCCATTTTCTGCGCCGCAGGCAAAAATTTTGGAAAATTCATGACTAGTTTAATATTTCTAATATTGTTTCAAGTTTAAAATATTAAAAAAAAAATAAAGTTGCAAATTTAAAATCAAGATCAAAGTTTAAAAATATTTATTTTTGAGAAGAAAAATCTTCTCAGCCTCATTCCCATCCATGGATTCGAACAACATCCCTATCAAAATAGCTAAATGGGTGAAGTCAGTTAACCTAACCTCACAACCACCGACCAACAAAAGGAAATAGGAGAAAATATAAATATTCCTTTCCCTTTTCCTTCATATATTTAACATCAAAGTCCCGATCCCGTTCCGATCTCTTGTTAATTAATGCAGTTTGAGTCGGGGGCATAAAAATTTTTCGGGGTTCGGGGTCGTCGGGGTCGAACTTTCGGGGGTCGGGGTTTTCGGGGTTGGGAATGTCGGGGTCGGGGTCGGGGTTTTAGGTCAAAAAATGTCGGGGTTCGGGGTCGGGGTCGGGGTTAGTCGGGGTCGGGGCGCAACCCTAGGCAGAATTGTTTGGAGAAACTGAGTCTTAGCGACTACATGCAGTTATTGGAGAATAACGATAAAATACACAATTTGTTAGTTTTTCGTTTGAAATGTTCATTGGAAGAATTTAAAAAAGCGTCGCAAACGAACAAAAATGTTATATCAAATGAATTGATATACATATTAATGTTATTCAAACGAGTTGATGGAGAATCTGTAACTGACAATATGAAGCCTGAAGATAAGAATGAACTTCTTAAAACAATAGACAACATTGAGATGGCAGACAATGTCTTTAAACACGCTCTCAAACAGCTTTTAAATATAGGTATATGATTCTCTCATATACCACGATTCATATCTTTTATTAAATAAATCTGTTAGAATAGATTGATATATAAATTCATCCAGAACAACTATATCATCCATTGGGACATAACCACGAAGGATAAACCATGCGAACATAAATAGACTGTTCGTTATTGTCAGCAAGATTGTCTATGCTTACGAAACCTTAACTGGTCATGATCATTTCAATAATAACGAAACTACATTCTTAATTTCTAACTTCTACTGTAGGCTTGGAAAATCCCGAGAAAACTCCGTAACCGGCTCCATTTCAAATAAATTCTCATAAATTCAAATCCGATAATATGCCAACTTTCATACAGATCCAACAAAATTTATTCTTAATTTACCTGATTTTTTAAGGAAATGCTTCCCTAGTAATGGATTACTACAATTTCCTAAAAAATTACGGAACTGATGTTGGAATATTCACAAACATATTAAAAACCGATAAATCTAATGATCAAATAAAAATTATTCAAAATAACGGCAGCATACAAATTAAATCGAAAATTTTTGATTCCTTAAAGGAAAACAAGGGAAAAGTTTCCTTTATCGTACACATTCTAGAAACAATAAATGAGAAGATTGTTGATGATATTTATTGGAGTTTCGAAAAGTAAATTAATTTTACAAGATTAAGCATGAGAAAATTTGGTGGTTTTCCTATTCGTTGTCACGTATTTCATATTAGCTTAATGCATTTACTAGCTTCCAACACCCATTATTCTCCGCGCCTGTAATTTTAGAGCCCAATTTTTTATTTTTATCTGTTGTAGTAGCCAAATATCCGTTCGAGCCCAATTTTCCTAAAAGTTAGTGCCAATTTTTCAAAAAATCTTGGAGCCCGTCTTCCAGAGCCCAATTTTATTATGATGCATGCCTTATAATATCATTTATATTTTTAAACAGCCTGAAGACAAAACAAGGCTTCTCCTTGAATAAACAAAGCTCGAAAATTCAAAATGAGATTTTACAAATAAAACTCATTCAATTATTCGAGCCTTTAATTCATGCAAAGTATTATGCTTTGGCATTTTTTTTTTATTTTTTTTAAGCAGATAGTAATGAAAGAAAATAAAAAAGATGAGAAAGGTATTACTGAAAATCTAGAATCTATTCAATTAAATATTTCTGGGGAAGAAATGAACAAAATTAATTCAGTCGAAAGTAATTTTGTTTTGATTGAAGAATTATTGAAAAAATTGTCTGGCGATTCTAATTTATTTGAGAAATGTAATGAAATGATTTTAGAAAAGCTGGGATATAACAAAAACGAATTTGTTTCACAACTTGTAGAGGAGATGAGCAAAATCATGTGGGATTTGGATTTTAAATGTATGTTGAATTTATGATTCGAGATTTGGTTATTTATACATTCTCAATAAAAAGCTACTATTTAGCTAAAGGTACTTTATGGATATGTCACCCCCCCCTCCTATTTTGAGTCTCAGAGTTTTCCTTATGCGTAGAAAATGGTCAGAGATTATTTTCTTCTCCATGTCAATCATTTAATTTCTTCAAGAAAAATAAGTGAAATGTGGAAACGAAATGAGTGAAATTAATTCAAAAATTTGTGAAAAGGCAAAATAAAGAAACATGGAGAAGAAAATAATCTCGGACCATTTTCTACGCATAAGGAAAACTCTGAGACTCAAAATAGGAGGGGGGGTGCATATCCATAAAGTACCTAGCTAAATTTAGACGATGTAGACGGATCAACGTAAATATCATGTGACTAGTATGATCCTATTAGACATGCGATGAGAGGGACCTTTATAAAATATAAGCCGGGTGGCTATTACTAATTTAAATACACAGCAACTGCAATATTAATAAAGCTTGCCCCTCTCTGATTAGTATTTTTCGGCGATAATTACTAAAACATATAACTTAAAATATTCCTACGCCATTTGCCTCTTTGGTCAAGACTTTTAAAAGATTCTATTTATTGCATAGCGCCATCAGCTTTCGAGGGTTTTGTATGTGACCTGTTTATATTAACTGAAATTTTGATACCCCTAACCCTATTTAAGATGCAATAGCAGTAACTTTAGAAGGGTATGAATCTAGTTATTCTCATCCTATGACATCTAAAAGTTTTTACAATTTAACATGTTATACATTAATTTAATTTTACAGTGAGTGGTGATTCGAGCGATCAATTTATACCGAGTTACTTTGACTTTCGAGCCGTTCAAATTTCTGGAAATGGTGGTAAAGGGACGATAGCCGATCGCGTGATTGAAAAAATATTTGAATATGTTACAAGTCCATTTAATTGGATAGGAAAGAAGGCGGCTAACAGCAAAAATAGTGTATTTAAAAAAGTCTATGGCCAACTGAATTCAACGATTCAAGTCTTCCGTTCTTTTGTATTGAGAAAAACACCCATTGAAAATATGTTTGTTCAACTTTATTATCATGAGAAAATACGTGGGAAAATATTGGAGGAAAAAATTTTAAAGTTAATTGGCAATTTTAAAAAGAATCTGCGAGAGAAAAAAACATGGAAGGAAATAAAAAGAGATTTTGGAGAATTACTGATGGAAATTGAAATTTTAGTGAAGGTTCTTAACTTAAAATATGAGAGCCCTAAAGATATAGAGAAAATGTTAAAACAAACGTTAGTTGAAGAGAAGAGTATAAAAAATAACAAAAAGATGGAGCACAACATTAATTTTAGTCTTTCAAGCTTTCCTCAGGAAATCATTAAAGCGCTAAAAGAAGTAATCAAGTCGGCCAAAAATAATGCGAAGGAGAAAGAAAATGTTGATTGGCCAGATATTAGAAGCTGCGCTCTTACAAAAGTGCAGGTGAGCTCAGATTCTAGATACATTTGTCGCATTATAGGAATATAATTTATTTGTGGGTAAAGTTGTGAGCAGAGTAGAGATAAAATCTAAAATTCAATTCCCATGATGAATTGAACTAGAAGGAATTTACCCAATACCTATAAATCACTCTTACTGATGCAGTCCAAAATTGGATGTATCGCTTTAAAGCTGCTCTCACCTATAGCCAGCCGAGATGTGAATATTGAAGGTGTATCTAAAAGTTTAAAACTTATCTAGTTAATTTATAAACTATAAAGTTTCATTCAAAATTTTAGACACATTCTACATTACTTCGTGATAAGCGAGCTACCTATGTTCACACTGGACACACATCTCTCTCACCCATGGACGCCAAACTTTTGGATTATATTGGTGGTTATATAGCCGGTAGAGCTGTTGTTTGGGTTGTATCATCAGTATTTGTCTTAGTTGTTCTTTCCCATTTTCATCCTCACTGTCCAGTACCAGTTATTCATTTATCAGAAATGCATTTACCTGAAATGCGTATGCCAGGATTCTTACGTAGCAGACAACATTCTCCTAATCCTCCTCAACATATAGAATTTCAACCGCAACAAAGCAATGCTAATCGTTTTGACTTAAATGCTGGAATCACTATGGGCTACCCCTTAGATATGAGATATCCAAGCGTAGTGCCAGGATATCCTTTTCATCAAAATCATCAACGAAATCGTCGTTATGCAAAAGCAACAAAGAAAGGTAGGCTCATTGTAATAACTCATTGTATTTGGTTATTTGTTAAAGGAAAAAAGAAGAGCACTACATATCTAGCTATCATTTAAAACGTTTATTAAACGAACCTTAATATCTATTAAAAGTAAAATGAGCAACGCCCTGGTAAAAAAAGTAAAATAAGTAGCCAAATCATAGAGCATCTGTTGAGGAAGTCGTTATAGGCCTTGATAGGCAAGTTATTCTCGATAGGCAAGTTATCCTCGCTCAGTCCTCACCTTTCATATACCATTTAAAGCACTCAAAAAGTTGATCCTGACAAGTTTTTGTCTGGATCTTCAACATTGAAATGTCTAGTGCTATTATTCTATTTACATGGCTGCGTTCGGATCTTTATACATTAAAATGTTAACGAGTGATTTAACTTGATTTGGACATTACACATCAGGACTATCTAGTAAAAAACAGGCATTTGCCTAAAAATTCTAACCCTATACATCAGGGCTATGCGTCATGACTTTTGTCGTCCATTTTTAGTCGTTTAGACGATTTTGGCGTTTGGCGTTGTTTAAGAATTTGATAAATGGCATTTCCTATTCAATTTGAAAAAATTTGAATAGTAAAAGTAAATTTTAACAAAAATTTAAATGTCTTTTTAGAATGTCGCATGAATGGAGGAACATGCCCAAATTCGTTTTTGCTTAGTTTTCACAAAGCTGATAGTGAAAATTCATTGGCATCTATGGAAGGGAACAAATGCTTTAAAAGCTTTGAAAAGTTTGAAAATGGCAATAAGAAGCTGCGAAAAAAACGAAATGTTTTTAAAATCGAATGGGTTGAATGCGCCGATTTTATTTTATGGTTTTGGATTATTGGATATTTTGTTGTTTGGGTTATAGGTGCGGTCTTCCTTGGTATTCATTTATTTTAAATGTGAAATGAGTGGAAAAACTAAATCCGAATGATCAAAATACAGTCCAGACCAAAACAACTATAGTTCGAACCAAAACTCTTTTTTTACTCCTATGGTTTTGTTTACTACATATGCGAAATGGACGTTATTATTAGAGTTGCATCCCTACCTATTTCACGTAAAAAGACCACGTTAACGAATCATTTTTGAACTTATCCCTGACCCGAACCCCTTACCATATTTTGCTTCCCCGAGCCGTATCCCGCTCCGAAACATTTCGAAAAACCCATGCCATGACACTCCCGCCCAAGTGCTTCAGTGTCGATAACCTAGTTATTATGTACTCAATGTGTGGACGTTGTTTTGGTCGGACGGTATTTTGACTGAGAGATTTATACGTAAGTAAATTTGGTAAATTGATTTTTTCATAACACATTATTTTTTCCTTTCTCGTGTTGTTCAGACATCTTGAGCGTTTTTGACATTTATACACATGTAAAGTTCGTAACATTGAATTATGTATTTGCCTACCACCTTGTTTTTAACTTTTTCGTTTTATTCAACATTCTGAGCTTACTTGATTTCTCTCTATTACCATGTGGAGTTTTTAAATAGAAAACTAAAAACCTTGATCTTTACGTTTTTTGTCCACATTTAAAACCTGATCCTTTATTCACTGATTCAATTACATATGGATTTAGAGTGAAATCAAGAAGTCTGCCCATTAAGGTTGGCGGATCCGTATAGCCAGCTCTGAAAAGAGACCGAATATCCGAAATTTAGGTTCGCATATCAGATCCGGATATCCGAAGATTTCACAGGATCCGCCAATCTTACTGCTTATACGCAATAGTGGTGTGCCCAAACAGATTTTATAAAGCGAACACAATAAGCAAAATTAAAGAAAGCGAAACGACACGATAAAAAGGGCCCACTACTTTTGTTTACACAAAAATTTTATGTATTATATTATTTTTTAAATTCAAAATGTAAACAACAGGTGATCTGTTATTGTGGATATTTATCAGGAGTGTGCCGAAACATATTCTAAAAAGCGTAACTATAAATGCTAATATCAATTTAGAAATTGATGGCGAAAAGCCAAAAAAGGCGAAGCGAGTAAGGCAAAACTGGCACACCCCTGGTACTTATGGTAAAATCCGACTGTAAGATATAGTTCATTTTTTATGCCCTCCAATCAGGGATGTTGCTTTTTCAACTGCAGTTTCCGCTTTTTAAATATATGTTTGCAACCTCCCTGATTTCATGATTTCTAGTAGTATTATTATTCAATTTGTAAGCGATATTTAACTGATATTTTTATTTAAATTTTGCATAAAGTATTTCGGGTAGTGATGTTTTTAAATTTTTTATTATCAAATTAGTTTTTTCATAAAAACTTATTTATCGGTATTTGCAATTTTGTAGATGCCAGTTTTTAAAGCCCTGTTTATTCGTCTAAATAGGATTTTTACTCAAGGATAGGACCAAGTGTTTTCTGTAGCAAATTTTGTGGGCATTCTTGTGGCTTAAAAAAATTTGGCACTTGTCCAGTTCATGCGTCCCATGAGAATTTGTGTGTCCCATAAAAGTTTATGCGTCCCATAAATAAAAAAAATTTATGCGTTTCAAAAATAATTTCTGCGTCCCTTAACATCAACGGTCGCTTGGTCAACGGTCGCTACACTTTTTTCTGAAAGTAATAATAGTCTATCGCAAGTCCGAGAAAAATCTCGTAAAATATCGCATTTTTCGATTCCTCAATGATGTTCTTGTAATATATAACGCTTTTATACATAATAGCTACAACATTTCTAAAAGTTTTGTTTTAGAAAGGAAAATACTTCTTCATTAACATTTATTACTTCTAGGAATTGTATCATTATCATCTTGTATGAATCATGCTAGCAATAATTTACTGGAAGAAATACCTATATATCCATAAT